TCATTTGCCGGCTCAGCAGGAAGGTCATGATTGACCCCGTCACGTCGCCGTTTGGTCAGGTGGGCAGGATGAGATTCAAAATTTCCTCCCCTGACTCCAGCTCGGCATGCAGACGTACGACAGAGAGGCGATAGAGGAGCACCTAGCCAAGAGCGGAGGGTGCGACCCTTTCAATGCTAACGAGAGGTCAGGACGCGCACGGGCCATGTGCTCAGTGTGGATCAAACCATGATGATCATGTTGCAGGTACACGGCCTCACAGCTTATCAACAACTTGGCTCTGAAGAACTTCATCGATCAGTTCTTGGAGAAGCATCCTTGGGCGTTTGAACATGTTTGCTAAGCATGATGGTATCATGAAAGTGAATCTCGTCTCGGAGAGTCAGTGGGAGAACTTGGAAACTAAGCGGCAGCGGACTCGGGGGGTGACGCCGCGAGACGCGGTCTCGGACTAGAATAAGTCGGCTGTCGGTCACTGTCACCGCTGTCCGAGCGCGGCCCGCCCGGCCGGTCACCGGGTCTCGCGGCTGACTCAGACGGTGACGCACTTCCAGCTGAGGCCCTGAATTGACTCAGTCGAGTCTCACCTAAAGGCTGGCCGCTGGCTGAGTCCGGTCACCAGTGCTGTGCCGGGCGTCACTGCGCGTCAGGCTGTCAGGCCCGGCCCGGGATTGGTGACTTAAGAGTGATTGTGGTAACTGACGGTTCAACCGCCAGTTGTGGCTCGCCATTCCGACCGCCCGGCCGCCACGGTTAAAAAAAAAAAGTTACCTGCCAGGCTGCAAGTTACTACGGCACCATCACGCTGCTAGACCCGGATGTCCCAGTAAAGCAAGTCGATCAGTCAGTACAAGTACACACAAGTTTGAGTAAACTTTAGTACCATGATGTGTGTACTTGTATCTTTGCAAGCCCGGCTCATCACTCGCACGGGCAGTGGGTCTTTTTTATTTTTTTTTCTCCAATGTTTTTGGGGTGTCCCATAGTCGTCATTACGACTTTCCTGGACTACCCCTTCTTTCTACCTGTATGTACCCCTTTCTTTCTATTTTGCACTTATTGGAGGAGCCACCCCCACCCCCTACTTTCATATGACCCCTCAGTCGTCAGATTTGGACGCCGTCCCGAAACCGCGGCTCAAGGAGCTGGACAGGTGGGGAAAGAAGAGTAGGGAGGAAGAGAGAGAGAGAGAGAGAGAGAGAGAGAGGAAGAGAGAGAGGAAGAGAGGGTCACTGAACTTACATCAGCGCTTCGTCCTTGCCGCTACTGAACTCGGTTTCGATAAGTTCGCTATCCTCCTGGTCATGCTCTCATTCGGTGGCGTGCAGAAGCTGCCGTCCTACCTTGCTGTAACTCTGTAGCCTCCCGTCGTTGCGACGGAAATACCACAGGACCGGCATGAAAACCCTACAAAGACAGTGTAAGCATGCACACACGAGCTTGAAATCACTTTGACAGACCGGTCCTCTTGGTCCTGCATGGCTACTGAAAGATTGAAGTCACACAGAGATACCATCGTTCAACTCAACAGACGCGTAAAGCGCGCAGCAGGTTGTGGATCCACCATGAAAAGAAGTCGAAGATCGGGACAGTTGCGCGAAGAGGAAGAGTTTTACATGTCACTCATCAATTCAACAACAGATTGATGTCAAAGTTTCACATGAACATGCGGGAAGAAACAGTGGAAGGAATGTGGCAGGGAAAAAAAAAAC